CCCCACCCCAACCTTATTTTCTCAAAATCCTCATCCATCATGTATTTTTTGTCAAGGAAAAAAGTTAACGCTCGGTTTTTTCTCACCCCCCAATTAAGACGTGAGGAATCGTATAAGTGTGAAACTTAAAAACAACTATTGTTTACGTTGTAGAGATTACTTTGCTGGCTTGGGAATGTGCGCACTTGGAACGGTGATACTCATTTGCAGCACAATAAGTTGCGGTATTGCATTCAAAAATCTCTGCTCAGCTAAACAAGAAGAGTGAAAACGTGCTCCTTGCCTTAATATTTTTTCACATCCACTGTCCTCATCTTGTTCTCAAGGGGTTTCATTTTATGTATTCCTTCACTTCTCTGTCAAATTCCCATTTTATGTAAAATGCAAATACATATGTGTATATTCGAGACGCAGTTCTAATAATTAGCCTAAAATTCAGTAATTTTATGTAGAATAGGCTTAGGCGTCATAGGGTTTAAATTTAAAGGACACTAATGCAAACATTTTGAAATTACGTGGCCTGCTCAGTAAAACAATCAATCATGTTTAATTTCTTAATGCTTGGTAATGGCTTAATTACAATTTAATTGTAACATAAGTAATTTACCATGTATAATTACATGTAAAAAAATTTATTTATTTATTAATAAAAGAAGAGAATAAATTGCTTTTATTTTTTAAAACGAACAGCCGATGCTTTTATGCAACAGAACAGAAATAGTAAAGTATAGAGCATTGCTTAAACAGCCTGTGTAACTGGGATTAAACACAAATGTGTTAGAACTGGGAGAGATTTAGAAGGTGGTGTTAAACTGAACAAGAAGATAAATTACGAGTTTGTGTTTGTGAAACGGGATTTAAACTTCCTCGTAGTTTGGAGTTGCGATCAAACGATTTCCGACATCCTAGTAGGGTTCACGCAAGGATCACTAAATGACTTTTGTGTTAATAATCTAAACCTCCTGAGGGCGCAACATGGTTCCTAAAGGGAAACTTGAGGTCATTGTAGCAGGGCGAAGCACTTCTAACTGAACCCCATGAAGGTGAAATGATTTGATCTCATAGATTAATGTTGACTTACGGAAGAATTTATTAACCAATAGGAAGTCCTCCCTTCAAAAATTTTAGGTTAATAATATCTCCGTGTTTACTTAAATAATTCAAATTAGTGTGTGTAAGAGAGATGTTTGATTTACAAATTTCAAATTTCAGGAAGAACTGTGCTACTCCCCTACTAAAGCTCGTTTTCAGCAAATAGGATAGTTATAGTTGATCTTTGATCATGAATATCCAATATCTGATGGGCATAACGCTTAGAAAACTGCCCCATTGAAAGCACACACACACCACAAGACTCTTGCTTGAATAGCGCAAAATTGTTTGCTACTTTGCTTCCTCTTTTTTTAGAAAATCTGAAATCTTTTAAATTCAGTTAAAATAAGCGATAAAGTATTCTGCCAAAATGCTATCTATTAATTCATTATCAGTAAAAACACGAAATATACCAATTTTTAGGCCTTTCTGACCAAAAGTACAGAGAAAGGTGGATAAATAAAAAAATCTATGAAGAACGGCCAATCAGGTCAATTTCAATTTAAATAAAAAGAATAAAGCCCCTCAATTGAATAATAGGCATTAATTGAATTCATCATGAACTGATTTTAATTTGCATCATTATTTCATTTCATTTAATGCCTACAATATGTCAATAATGAAAAGCTGTAAAATCATTTTAATGCTGCAATAAAAAACTTTAAGTGTTACAGTTAAATTAAGTTTTGAAATAAATGATTATATTTTTCCCAGATTAAGCGTTTAATTAGCTATTCAAAAAATTCATTGGACCTCCAAGGAGTGATAATGTTTCTTAAACCATCACGATAATTTTGGTATCATTTATCGGCAGTATTGGGTAGAGGTAAGTCGAATTAGCACTGTTCAAATTTAAAGTTTTCAATGCTTAATTGTTTCTTCTCAATATCCGACTTACTGGCCCGAAATATTCTTACCACCAAACAAGTGCCCACATGAAAACTAAATCTTTATAAAAGGTCAGTTGAAGAGCCTAAAATAGAACCCTTTTTAGAATAAATTAACTACGCGCTTTAACTTAACGAATGAACGTATATTACCTTCAGTGACAGTTGAGAATTGATTGGTTTCGCTTTTACCATCAATATTTGTAAATTGAGTTGTTTATAAGCTAATGAAACCACCATGCCATGTGATTTTTAATTTTAATTACAAACTTTTTACCATATGGGCAACACTTTAAGACATAATGTGTAATTCTTTGGCATACACGTTTTAATTACTTCACTGATAATCTCTAGCTAGTGACACTGCAGCAGCGTTTAAGATTTACAAGTTTTTTGAAAGTATTTGAAATTGGAGAAAAGTAAATGAATTCAACAAGAGGAAACGTGTTGTGAGGAACTAAGTTATCATACCCACTAATCAAGTTTCTTAAACTCATAAGAACTGGACGTAAAAACTTGGTCATAGTATTAAACGAAGTACAATACATTCATTCAAACTTCAGGATTTCACTAACAGATAAGATCTAATATTATTTCTCTTAAATTCAAGACTAGTTTAACGGTTAAGTGGAAATCGTGATTGGACAGAGCTAACTTAAAATTCAACTCCAGCACCACAGTGGAAACCTCTTAACAAAATTTACATCGTGTGATCATGTGTACCCAAATACTGCCAAAGCCTTGTCAGATGCGCCCTTATTTCATGAAAATAGTTGGTACTATTGTCTTCAACAATTCACATTTTTTGGCCATCAGATCCATTATTTCGATATTGAATACAGTTGCATTGCTCTGTTATTCTAAATATCATCTCCAAGACCCTACACGAAGCTGCCTTTTTATCAGCCAAAATTCTTCTTCGAAAGTAGTATGTCATGCATGTTCAAACTTACATGTTTTTTTGTTATGCTCCTTAGGTTAACAACATTGTCAACACAGAATGGGCCTTAGGGATTGTTTACAAGTGATTGCTGAGGGGCATTCGGCAATGTGCAAAATCTTCAGTGTGTTTCTGCTATTGTTAAGCATCGGTCTCATCATTGGTGGATCGGTTTTGGTCCACATGAACAAGAAGGGTGTCTACGGTGGTGAACCGACGGCTGACGAAGCAAGGTAAATAATTGCCTCATGAATTATTATCCCAGAAAGGGCACCCAGAAAATCACTACAAATTTAATGTTGCTTGTAAAATGTTAATGCAGACTCATGTTTTACGCTTGAAGGCATTAAGTCATTAGATTGGTGGGGCTTATTTATAATTAATGCTATGTTATTCAGATTTCCTTCACAATTTCAGGCACTATGCTGGAGGTCTGGCTTTGTTAATTCTTGGATTCCTCGTTTTCTTCGCAAGTATTCTTTCCTGCTGCTGTGCATTCCAACTGAATATTGTTGGACGCATCTTCGAGCGATAAATAGTTCATCATTTGGAAAATTGTTGTCATCAAAACATTCTTTTTCAATAATTTTCTGTTTCAAATAAATACATTAATAACAATATTGTAGTATATGAAAGGCTCACCGTGTTCCCACCGGCGTAATTTGATTAATAGGGAAAATGTTTTTGAACAAAATCGTTTGTTTTTTATTTTCTCCTTGTTGATAAAATCTTAAACCTTTTAAATTCAGGTCAGATATATGGGGAAGTATATTATAAAATGTTCTCTACTAATTAATTATCAGTAGACGCGGGAGTTTATCAGTGCTTTTCGTTATATCTGAAAGTGCTTCTGGATGTGGTAAACGTTTCATGCCTAGCAGAAATTGGGAACAGACTACTTTGTTCTCTGGTTTAGGCACGTAATGGGAAAATTAATGCAAGAGCTAAAAGTTTAATTGGTCAGATAATGTTCAAAAGTACACAAGAAGTGAAGTAATAAATAATCGATGAAAAGTATTTAAGCATACCAATTTCAATTATAAATAAATTAAGAAAAATCCATTTACTTGAAAAAATATTGCAGAATAAGCATTATTCTTCATCAGGCATTGCATGTAATTAGCGCAAACAGTTGTAGCATTTTTTCATTATATTTATTGCCTGCCACATGCCAATTACGAGTGCCAATAAAATTGTTTTGATACTGATATAAAAATGTTTTGTACAATAGTAAAATGATTATTTAACAATGATCGTTACATTTTCCCAGTTTAAAAGTTTAATTAGCCATTCAAAAAATCCATTGGATCTTCAATGTGTAATTATGTTATCTAATTCTCAGCTTAATAAAGATATCATTTATCTGCAGTATTGAAACGGGGTATGTCAAATGAACATTGTTTAAAATAAAGTCCTTTAAAACCAAATTTCTTCTTCATAATGTTTCTCTATCCGGCATATGTTATTTAAACTAACAAATACGTTTTCTCATCAAGTCTAGATTTGGAGTTAGGGATATGTTTCAGTTATGTTGGCATGGCCACCTCACTCTGTGATTTGTAATTTTAATTAGGAATTTGACATCATATAATAGAGACACTTTTTACCATAATGTGCAATTCTTTTGCATACACGGTTTATTAACTTTAACGACAGCCTCTAGCTAATGACATTACAGCAGCGTTTGGGTTTAAAAATTTTGAAAAGTATCTAAAAATTGGAGAAAAGTAAAAAAATTCAACAAGGGGAAACGTGTTGTTAGGAACTAAGCTATCATACCATGCAGTCAAGTTCCCTTTGCTCTTTCGTACTTGACGTAAAATCTTGATCTTTTAATTAAACGAAGTACAACACAGCGGCCATACACTTTTATGCAATCTTCATGTTTCATGATTTCATTGACAAATCAGGTCTAAGATCTTTCAACCTGCATTCAAGGACAGTTTAGCAGTCTGTGGAGATCGTAGTGGGTCAGAGCTATCTTGCAGTCAAGAGTAATTAAGTGTCACAGTTATACTTTTGGCAACTAGCTTTGAACCATAAGTTTATATTTAAGCCGCGATACTGTGGCATTCATAGGAGGCAAGCCATGCATTTTCAAAATTTTGATTTACATTATTACGTTTATTAGGTTGACAACATTACCAACACAGGATGTGCTGTAACGATTGCTTTCAAGAATTCCTTGACAGACATTCATTCATGTTTAAAATATTCTGTATAATACTGATGTTGTTAAGCATTGGTCTTATCATTGGTGGTGCGGTCATGATGAGCATGAACGACAAAGGCGCATTCGGTGTTTTACCGTCGGTTGGTCAAGCGAGGTAATAAATTTTTTTTATAATTTTGGTAGTACTGATTAGGGCTTCATTCGTCATGAAATCCCCCAAATCACCCAAAAATTTAATGTTGTTCGAAAATGTTAATATAGATTCGTATATTTTATGCTTGGAAGCGTTTGTTCATTAGATTAGTGGGAGTTATTTGAACTGTGCTTCATAATTTCAGGGACTTTGCTGGAGGTCTGGGTTTGTTAGTTCTTGGACTAATCTTGTTCTTCGCCAGTCTTATTTCCTGTTGCTGTATATTCCAATTGGATATTGTTGATCGCTTCTTTGATCGATAAGCAGTTAATTATTCGGACAATTGTTGACATTAAAACACGCCTTCCCCCCCCCCCTTAATTTACTGTTTAAATTTAAAAAAATAAAGCACTTTAAATATATGTCACAAAGCTCACCTTTCTCTCACGTACTTCAAATTCCAACCGGAAGGGTACGTTCAGTCGTATATATATGAGAATGAAATATTTCGAATGTTAAGAATTATTGATCTTAAAATGGATGCGATCTTGAGTCGGAGAATCGGCGTCTAATTTACAGTCCCATCCCAGTGCTCCATATGATATATGCGCTTTTATTTCAGTAAACTTAGTGGCATTGTTGTCTTTAACAATTCAGTATTCTTTTATTATCAGGCCAATTATTTCATAAATAGTACACCCAGATTCAGCACTCTGTAATTCTAAGTACCAACTTCTAATAGATGCCGTACGACTAGTGTCGAGAGAGTGCAGGAAGGCGTTAGAAAGAAACTGTCCAGTGGGGTGAAGAGGGTCACATTTTTATATGTCAAAACAGGGGTGCGCAATAGACTTACCTCCACGTGGTATACCCTGAACAACGTATACTCATATGGCAAAAAAGTCTATTAACGGGCAGTTGACTTCTGACTTCAAACTACCATGGCCCGACTGCTTCGACCCTTTCCACAGTACTCATCTTATCTTTTTCTCTACCTTCGTGTCTGTCTGCCTCTTTTACATCTGTGAATCACTCTTCCCCCCTCTCGACTTTTTGTCACTTTGATGTTCCACCTCCTCTCTGTGAAGCCTGAAGTCAACTAAAGGCTAATGATAACTATCAAAACGCCTGCCATTTGATATAAATAAATATATGCCAAAACACGTAACAGATATGCATTTAAATATGACCGAATTTGTTTTTAACTATGTCATACATCGGTTTCAGTGATAGAAGAAGTGAACAATGAATGGAACCGTGATAACAAAGTCCCTTCAAAGGAGGAGGAGGAGAAGGAATTGACATACAAGAAGAAATGAGCAATTTCGTTCACCTGCTTCTCTCTATAGAGTTAAAATTGACATCAGCTATTTAGTCAATTTAGATTTAAATGAAAGTAACCGACCATGATTACCATATTACATTTTGATTGCACAAAATGAAATTATTCGAAAAACATGTTATTCTGATTGGGACCCATCATTCATTGGTTAAGGCCCCCCCCCATGTTACAAAGAACAGAGAACTTATGGGTAAAATAAAGAATTTGAAAAGGAGCACGAACTTTCAACATTTTCGTGATTGAAAATGGCAGGTCAAAATTTGATTTTTTTAAAGAAATTATAAAATATTCCCATCTAATTTCATTTGTTTGCATACCTATGACTTTAAGGTTGTGGATGCCAAGTGGAGCGTCGTTTAAGTAAATGTCACACTTCCACATAATTCGATCTTGCAGTTTTTGTGTGTTCATTCAAATTTGATGCACAATTCTCACCACTTTGAGCCACAACTTACCAAACAAGCCATTTTTAAAATTGGTCATTTGTAAATTGGACGCATTTTTTATGTGATGTGCAAAATTGATTGATCAATTAGTTTACCTCAAACTACTGATCAAACTATTTCCGTGGCATTCATCGAAAGTGCCCACAAGAAAATAAAACTAGCAACATAATCTGCCTATTCACTCTAAGAGATCACTATTGTCCATTAATGGCAAAATCTACTTTACCTAGAAAGCTAATTTAAATTGATCCGAAATAGTGCCGTAATTCTGAAATTTATCACCGCACCCTGGATCATGTGAATCGTCACATCAATAAGATCTGATTACAAAATGCTAAGCAACTATTCGAATATCTCTTCACAACTATTCTAACACTGAAGGTGGACGAAGGTCGTGCAAACAGACTTTGTCTTTCCAACCATTTCAAAATCCAAAAAACCTGAATGAAGCAAGACACTTTAATGTAGTGACAATGTTTCCTGCTTCCTTTCATACGCCTTCACCTTCACCTTCATCACTGTTGGAGTCACTATTATTCAATGGTAGTTAATTCAATCAATTAGTAATCGGCCACTTTCCCCAGTATTAATGGTTGTGAAGAGGATAGCAGGAACTCATACTGATATTTTCACACTGACAAGGTACATATTTGGGAAAGTTAATTGAGAGGCTGAAAGGGGGATGGTTGGTTGGGGTGGGGAGGGGAGGGGGGAGTGAGTGGCAAATCAAACGGATGAGTTGGACGATTCGATGAAGTTTGTCCTCAACGGCATAAAATATTTCGTATTAATGAATTTACTGATGTTGATGGATGAGGCAGTACGACAACTTCCACGAACGGGTAGAAAGAAGGGAGAGTTCACGTTACTTGCTGCCGCTTTCAACCAATTTTCCAAATATACCACACTCAAGAATGGTACATCCCATACTCGCTGTCACAAGAAGAAGGAGGAAGCCTGTTGCAAGCAATGCAAATCCTGCGAATATTTTCCTAACAGATATTAAGAGACAGAATAGGCGTTTGAAATCTTTTAACACATAGATTAAAACATAGCTAATTTTCACATGAAATTAAAAATTCATCTAAAACAACACTTCACTGTGTTTGAGACATTTAAATCCAAATAGATTTGAAATATGTAAATGGTTATTCAACAATCGCCTATTGCTGAAAGTTGGATGTAAAATATTGAAAAAAGGACAATAGATTCTGTCTGGTTAGAATTTGACATTACTTCCACCAGCTCACTGCTTAATTCAAATGGAAGAATGAGTACAGTCATTGTTCGTCCACTTCAAGAAATAGATTGGACTTCCTTTGCTACTGGTTAGAAGATGACATTCTGATGGTCCAATAGACTCTCCACTCTGACTTAACTTATGTATGAGATGAGGCGTAGAGTGAAGCATTGCGAAATGTTTGGACATTTTTTCACTTTT